AAATAACGGATAACCGTAAAAACTACAGTGTCCACTGTACCTACAGTTTGCTTTATGTGAATAAAATTTATTTAACTGTGTAAAAAGTTGCCTAACCGTCAAGCTGGGGGGGAAAAGGATTGTTAGTAATGGAGACTGAGATTCCCATTGCTAGCAATACACCCAACCAGGTCGACCTCCTCGCGGTTCTCTCTGGAAACTATCATGGTTAATTCCTGATGAATTCATCATGATGGGCTAACTGGCCTGTTTTCATTCTCATCTATCATCCTTCACTGGTGCTCCGCCAGCGTATCCCGTTAGCGCATGCGGGGTTACCATACCACTTTCACCCATAAAAAAAAACCGTCAAGCTGGGGATAATTGTTAATAATGGTGTCTAATATTTCTATTAGGGGGAAAGGGATTGTTAGTATAGGATTCTATAAACTTCCTTCCTGGAAACCATCGTGGTTAATTTCTTGTTGAATTCATTACGATGGGCCAACTGACCTGCTTTCATCCTCACCTATCATCTATCACTGGTGGCCCGCGTATCAGCGTATACTGATAGCTCAGGCGGGGTTACTATTCCATTATCACCCCTTCGAAAAAAAAAACAGTTCTATTACTTCTGGTAATATACCTTCTCAGATAGACCTCCACGCGTTCACTCTGGAAACTACCTTAGTTAATTCTTTTGACTGTGTAAAATGTTACCTAACCGTCAAACTCGGGATAATTGTTAATAATGGTGTCTAGCAGCCCTATCGCTTTCTAGTAATATACCTTCTCAGACAGACCTCCACGCGGTCACCCTAGAAACTATCTTAGTTAATTATTGGCGAATTCATATTAATGGGCCAAGTGATTTGACTTCATTTTCACTTATCATCCTTCACTAGAATTCCACCAATGTAATTCTATAGCACATGCAGAATTACTATTCCATTTTCGTCTCTTAATAAACACATTTAAATCAAGCTTTAGTTTCAAATTAGGAAACAATACTTTCCCAATTCCACTATTATTATTTAACTAGCTATATTTCCCACAGCTTTGCTTATGTTAATTAGAAGAAAATAGCCTAATTATTGCTTAGTAAATCAAGAAAATAATCTTATTCGAAACGGTTAAGCCATTTAAGCGTAATCGAGTAACAAATGCCCTTAAACTATTAAACATCTTTTTAATTTTCCAAAATAAAACTTCAAAGCTCTGATCTGTTATTCGACCTTGAAACTCCTAATACATATCAGTAAACAATACGTTATTTAATAGTCGACACCACTCTAATTTTGACAAAACTGGAAAATAAATCTGTGTAACCACATAGAAGTGTCAACACTATAAAATAAATTAATATTCATAGTATTGTAAAAATATTTATAATATGTATGTGTTTCTTCAAAATAACAATACTATATTATACTATATCAGCTGTTATTTGTATACCGCTGAATATAGGCCTCCTTCTATTGAGGGGGTTTTGCCACGCTTGGCAGGCGGGTTGTTAGGCCAAGTTAGGCAACCTAACTTAACCGCTGTTAGACTTTAGTGATGTTTTAAGAGAGACACTGCTGCCCATGCTTCGACCATTATGTTCCCTTAGTCACCTCTTATGACACCCACAGAAATGGATGGGGTAACCTATTTTGTGCTGGGACCAAATGGTAATAAAATAATATAAAATACCAATAAAAAAACCTAATTGCTTATTAAATTATTTGTTTCAAATTCAATAAACTGATTGCACAGATTTCATGTAAATATTTTTTTTTTACTTGAAATGACATATACATTATTGTCGTACGCAATAATCAAGCATTCTATACTCGCCGTATAACTTTTTTCTTAATATTTACTTTTTTATCTTGTTCATTGTTTGTGAATAGGCAAAGGCAACGACGGTAGCGCTTGCTTTTTTGATAGGTTTTTTTCTTGATTTTTTTTCTTTAATTTTTTATTTAGTTGATAATGACAAAGCATTATAAACACATAGCGAAAGCAAATAACAATTATTTATAAATCCTTCTTATGTATGGTAGTATCGCTACAGAATAGAACGCAACGAGATGAATAATTCACAGACGATTTCCTGAATTCGTGTTACGAATGCTTGATTGTTCCATCCGGGTATCTAGATACTACGCCAAGTTAATTAAAATGAAACAAGTGCCTCTACACTTAGGTAACTTCAACTTTAAATTTTAGATAAATCACAGACATGGAGTACAAATTAATATTGTTTCAACTAAGATTATTTACCTAAATGGATTTTAAGGCGGAAAAAAATTATTGAAATTTAATTGTTGTTTATTCATTGTCCAGATTTTTTACTCAAAAAATTGTATATTGATGTAAATAATTACAGTTTTAACTATTTATCTAAACTTACTTTCAGCATTAAGTCCGCCTTTTGTATCAAACATTTTCTTGCAAATTTGTTCAAGCTTACTAAAATAGTAAAATTATAGATAGCTAAAAAATGTCTGTACATGAGAGATATTTAAGAAAAATGAAATTGATAAGTTTTAATAAAAACCACAAAAAAACAATTTTTAGATATTTTATTTGGTTATCTATCTGTCGGTTTGTTCCAGCATCATGCAAAAACAATTGCACCTAATTGAATATGATTTATAGTAGTCTAATAAAAAATCTTTATACGCCATTTAGAAGTACTATTTATTGATTTTTCTACTTCTAAAATCCAAAAGGCTGGTCGTAGGATTGACAAAAAATCATTAATTCTCGTAATGTCTCATAATTCTGGCGTATATATTAAAAAGACCGACAGTGTCGGATGTCGCTATTACTAACGCTTTTTATTTTTCCCGTAAGTAATCTCGAGGTAAAATTTATTATATGATAGTAATAACTGGTTTATATTACAAGGCTCACAAAAGTTTCGTGTAGAAAATTGCTCAATTTCATGTCCAACGGCCATTTTGTAAACGCACATTTTTCGGAGATTGTGTGCCAATATGAAAGATTGTGGAACTTCTGGTAGTAAGAGTGGTGGTCAAATTTTGAGTGTTGGTAGTCACATATACCATCATATCAGCCTTTAACTGTCCTCTGCTGAACATAGGCTTCCCCCATAAGGGGAACTTGGCCAGTAATTTCCATGCTTGGTAGGTGGGTTGGCAACTGCAGTTAGGCCTTGGTGATGTTTTAAGAGAGATGCTGCTTCCCATCCCTTGACTATTAAGTTCCCTTAGTTGCCTTTAATCAAGCTTACGTGAGGAGGGAGGGGGGCGTCCCCTTAGTCTCCTCTTACTATATCAACGGAAGTGGAAGGAGTAGTCCATTCTATGCCAAGAACACACGGCAATGTATAATTATAATTGTAATGAAATTACTAAAAAAACTGCTAAATTCAAACCAAAATTAATTTATTTATAAGTCAAATAATTATACATAGTATAATTTATATTATACATAGATTTTGCTAGTAGTTGCCATGCTTGGTAAGCGGATTGGCAACCGTAGTTTGGTGATGTTTTAAGAGGGATGCTTCTGCCCGTCCCTAGACCATAGTCTATTACGACACCCACGGGAAAAGAATGAGTGACCCATTCTATGCCGGGACCACATGGTTTAAATATAATATAATAGCATCTTCTAATTAGAGCCCTTTTTACGATTACTCGTGACATTTTTTTATGAGATCTGTCATAATTCACGCTACGACGCGGATGAGTGTCCGTGACTCTTCAAGTGAAACAGTGACCACTTTTTGTTGCAAATATAGCACAATTGCTTGGTGGTGGCGTATAGTCTTGTCATTTTATATTATCAGAGTATTTTTTTATGCTACTTACAATAGCAAACAGGCTGACGGCTCACTTGATGGAAAGTGGTAACCGTCGCCTATAGACATGAACAGTATCAGGAACATAACAGAGTATACTGGTGCGCCCATGATACTCCTCCCCAATACGTTGCCATTCCTGAGGACTCAGGTATTATTCCTCTGTACCCTGTAAATTCACTGCCATATCCCACCCTTCAAACCGAAACACAGCCATGCAAACACAACTGTTTTACGGTAGAAATACAAATGAGACAGAGGTCCCCAAGCAAACGACTTTTGTACAAAGTCTTCTTCTAGTGTTATTTTGTATTGTTAAAGTAGTTAGTATTGTTAAAAAAAAACAACTACGTAGTAGGCATCAGTAATATTGGTACAACACAAATACATATATATTGAGTTCCTCTGGCCATTGATGACGGAAAAAATGGTCATTATATATTTCTAACTCGCACATATGTATATATATATATACTTATATACATATATATATATATATATATATATATATATATATATATATATATATATATATATATTCTTTATTGCACTAAAACATACAGTAATAATAATATAATATAATGTACATATTTCAATTGGATTCTTCATTTCAGTATTATATATAGGATATTGTCATCAAAATACATAGATATTCATAAATATATGTACATAGATATTCATACCCATCTCTACTAGGTACTTCAATTAAGACGTGAAAATATTCTTGATATTTTTATTTACTGCTGTGGAGCAAATTTGCTTCTTTATTTATTTTTGATTTTTATTATTACATCTGGAGTCAACAACTTATATCTAGAATAATAAAAATGTATTGTATTTATATCATCATCATCATCATATCATCATTTCTGTCGTTAATTGCCCACTGGTGAACATAAGCCTTCACTATAAAGGAAGTTTTGTCAGTAGTTGGCACGCTTTTACACATACATTGATCAATTATAGGTTCCCAATTTGTGTACCAAACAAAATTATACTTACTTTTAGGGGGTTTTCTCCAAAAATAAGGCAAAATTCAATGAAGATACTTATTACAAACGTTGCATTATAAACATGATAATCATTCTATGTTCAGATATTTCAAATCAAAGGTTTCTGTGAAATTATTCATCGTCCTCTATATCGTACATTTTTTTTAATCTATAACCATACATTAGTTGATAATTAAAAAAAAAAATTTCAGCACCAGAATGTCGCCGGCAGCGTCGTTTGCCGAACGATGGGCCCAAGACAATCTGATCAGGGAGCCGTCCGAGGAGGAATTAAAAGTCCTCGATATATTCCCCCACACGTGTGAAGGGGATGAGATAGAGGCAGCGAAGAGGGCCAGGCGGTATTATATAGCGAGGGGACCTGGAGGGCTGACAGATTTGTGGCACAATAGATATCCAGATGGTGAAGATATTCTATCCAGCTGCCAAGATTCGTGAGTACTGCTTTATTATTAACCGATCTCAAAAAAAAGGAATAGGTTCTCAGTCTTCGATTGTGTTTTTTTCAACCATCTTCAAAAAGTAAGGGGTTTGCAATTCGGTTATATTTTTTTATGTTTGTTGCTTCATAACGCCGTCAATTATAAACTGATGTAAATTTTCTTGTGAATGTTGGTTCTACAGACATTTTATCCAAATAGGTTCAGCAAATCAAAACAACTTGTTTTACCAGAATTGAAGTCTTTTTTTTTAGTGGAACTCAATCTTAAATTGCTGTGTGGTCCCAGCATAAATTAAGGCCACCCATTCCTTTTCCGTGGATGTCAGAAGAGCCGACAAAAAGAGTTTAATAGACGAGAGATAAGTAGCAGCGCCCCTCTTAAAATATCACCAAAACCTAATTGCAGTTGGAAACTTATGGGGGAGACCACTGTTCAACATAGGATAGTTAATGCCTGATTTTTTTTATGCAACTTAGAATGGCAAACAAGCTGACGGCTCACCTGATAGAAAATGGCAACTGTCGCCTATAGACATGAAGTACCATTCAGACTAGACAACAGAGTTTACTGTTTTGCCCATGTTACTTTCTGCCATTCCTGATGGCTAAGGTTTATACCTCTGTACCCTGTAAATTCACTGCCATATTACTCTCGAATCGAAATACAGCCATGCAAACAACTGCTTCACGGTTGAAACACGAATGGAACAGAGGTACCCAAGCAAACAACTTAAATAAAAGGTCTCCATCTAGTTATATAATAATTTTAAATTATTTTAGACCGAGATACTATGATGTTATGACCAATAATACTTACTATTTTTATTGTGATCCCCAGGTTTATCATCCCGCTCCGGGCTCGAAGCGTTGGCGGGAGGCGTTTAACGTTAGTCCGATTGCCAGCACCAACAGCATTAGACAGGCCTTTGTCAGCTAAAGCACTCCTTACAAGATGGCTTATGATATTAGATATTAGGTAAGAAACCATTTTTTTATACCACAAAAGTGGCAAACAAGCACACAGCCCATCCGATAGTAAACGGTCATTGTAGTCTATGGACGCTTGCAACACCTTTATATCCCGTTTTCCACCCACAAAGGTACAAATCTAGTTTTTTTTTCTATATGAATGTATGTTTGCATAATCATATATCATCATCATCTTCCTACCCTTATCCCAATCATTTGGGGTCGGCGTAATATGATTTTATCCATATTACAAAAAGATTTTGTTTTTAATTTTACGACCGGCCACCTGACGCCTGACGTCAACCCTCTTTGGGAATAATCATATATAAATTATGAAATTGAAGTTTAATTTAACAACATAAATAGACCATATCGTGTTTTTTTTAAAGTGGATGAATATAGTACGGTATCCCTGCCTGCACAATTAGTATAGGTATCCTGACCAGCGAAAGATGATAGGTGACGATAAAATCTAGCTAATTGACTCATCGTGACAAATTTGGTAAGAATTCATCACGACGGTTTCTAGGAGAAACGCGTGAAGATCGACCGTGGATAATTTGCTAGCAATGGAACTGTTAGCCTCCATTTTTACTAATAAACGCGTAAATCGTCATAGTCGTAGAATACTGACGGATCTTTATATGTAATCTTTGTCAGATTCGTCAGTATTCTACGACTATGACGAAATTTGCCAAGTTTGAATCTATTTTGTAATAGTGTTTACCCTCGTGTTGGTAATTTCAATTTAATAATAAATAATTTACGAGTAATAAGTTCGTAATTTAATTTTAATTGTGACTAATTTTATAATATAGGAATACTATAAATTTAGTAATAATTAAATTTAAATTGTTTCTGAAACAAAATCTTGCAATTCTATATTATTTCATTATATGTAACTGTTACATCAGGAAGATAAAAACGTTGCCTTGACATGTACATATAAATAATTCTTGCGTATATTATTATACATATATACCTATTTTATAAGCCTTGGCGAAGATTATAAAACCGCAAGCCACTAATGTATTAATATAACGTAGGTACTTTATACATACTCATAGTTCATCCTCATATAATAGATCAGGAGGTAAGGGATAGTTAGTAATTGAAAGATGAGCCCCCATTGCTATCAATATAGCCTATCAGGACGACCTCGATGCGGTATCCCCTGGTTTCACAATTTTTTTTTTAGACATCTTAGAATGGCAAACAAGCTGATAGCCCACCTGTGGTAACCGTCGCCTATAGACATGAGCCCATGATACCCCCCATGCGTTGCCATTCCTGAGGACTCAGGTGTTGTTTCTCCGTACCCAGTAAATTCACGCCATATCCCACCCTTCAAACCGAAACACAGTCATGCAAACACAACTGCTTCACGTTTGAAACACGAATGGGACAGAGGTACCCAAGCAATCGACTTTTGTACAAAGTCTCCCTCATTTATCGTAGAATTCGTCACGATGGGCTAACTGACCTGCCTTTTCATCCTTACCTGTCATACTTGACTGATACCCTGCCAGTGTATACCGATAGCGCAGGCGGAATTAACATTCCAGTATCATCCATTAAAAAATAAGTACATTATCTATAATAATCCATAATACTGTATGAGAGTAAAATCCAAAGTTACTGGAACTGACTTGCCTATTTCATCATCATCATCATCGTCATCATATCAACCGTTAATTGAACTGCTGAACATGAGTCTTCTCCATAGACAACCATAAGGAATACTCCAAAATCCACTATCTCCATACAAAATAACGTAAAAATAATTACAAATTATTTTGTTCCGCCAAAACAGCTTCGAGCTTATATCGTGCAAATTATTATCCAATAGTCTCTCTCGCTCTAACATGCAGGTTATTATATTTTCTGTCTCGTACATTGCCAATCTATATACTCTATAATCTACGATAAAACCTATATCAGAATCCTTGGTGTCTTTTAGGAGAATAAAACGAATGAACAGACATAGACATCGACTTTGTATTATACTATTTTATTTATAAACCTTATGTTCATTTTTTGTCCAATGTCTATATATAACGGCAAAACACAGTGAGTTTGCTAATTTCCCGTTGTATATGTATGTATGACATTTGTTTTATACTATTTAAACATGAGTCACTCTTTGGTAAGTAATCGAGTAAGACTAGCTTACTACCCGCGGCTTCGTCTGCGTAATTTTGATATGTTTACTGACAAAAATAAAAAGTAGCCTATATCTTTCTGCATTTCTTTTATTACACGTATATAAAATTTGATAGTTATTGGTTAAGCAGTTAAGGCGCTATAAGGTAACGAACAAACACACTTTTACATTTATAATATTAGTAAGAACTGTAATATTATTAATGTATTCATTCAATATAATGAAAACAATACAATATTCTTGTAGTCATTGTATCTTACTAGAGCAATTGTTTACATTCCGTCACAGTTTTTAACCGAAGAATGGCGTTTTCTGTAACAAAAGTATTTATGTACCAATAAAATAACCCGTATATCTGTATCGAATCTTTTTAAATGGAGAAAATTCAATGTGACAATAAATTTATCTTTTTTAATTTTTATTTCTACTTTTTTTATTTAAAAACATTTACTCAATATTTTTATTGCCATGCTCTTACTAATAGGTATCACTCGTATAAATTTAGAAGCGAGTTTGTTGCCCTATAGTGCTTTAACTGTTTAATCAGTCACTATGAAATTTGGTATCCACATACTATATGGGTTGGAGAAGTATGTAGGCTACTTTTTATTCCGGTCAGTAAACATATCCCGGACACGTGGACGAAGTCGTGGGCAAAAACTAGAAAAAATATTATATTAGTGTTGTTTTCATACCTCTGAGGTGGCAAAATTAATATATATTTATTTACTATACTATATAATTGTGTACTGAACTATGTCGTTTCATTTGAGATTTCAAGACGTATGTTATTAGTAGATCGTACAAGGTTTCGTCAGTTAACAGTAGATACATACATATATATCTGTCACGCCTGCCTCCCATTAGGGTAGGCAGAAACAATGGAACGCCAAATGCTTCGATTCAAAGAAACCTCTTTCGTTTCTTCCACATTCATCAATCTTTTGATACACGCTCGCCGGTTACGGGTACATTTAATTTGGCCCTTCTTCAGCACGTCGCCTATTTGGTCGACATACGTCCGTCTAGGGCGGCCCCTACCGACATCTCCATTCATTCTTGCTCGATAAATCTCTTTCGTAATTCTTCTTTCATCCATCCTCTCCAAATGACCAAACCAACGCAATATTCCTTTTTCGATTTTTGTCACTACATCGTCTTTTAGTCACACTTTTCTCTAATCACACTGTTTCTTACTCTATCTTTTAATGTAATACCACATATACTTCTCAAAGCTCTCAACTATACAGCATATAAATATAGATCTTGGGTATATTTAAATCAACTACCCTTGAGTTATACTATAATACATAATGCATTACTTATTATAAATATATTATAATCAAATTAAAAAATAATCATGATCATCACATCAGCTGTTAATTTTCCACTGCTGAACACAGACCTTCTCTGTAGGGGCGGGGGAGGGGATGCCAGTTGTTGCCACGCTTGGCAGGCGGATTGCTAACCGCAGATAGACTTTTAGTGATGTTTTAAGAGCTGCTGCTCATCCCTAAACCATTAAGTTTCCTTAGTCGCCTCTTAGGACACGCACAGGAAAGAAGAGATGGTGCATTCTATGTCGCGTACACACGGCAATCATACTATAATGGTTTTGCTAAATTATTAAATAAACATTTTAATTTTAAGAGATATGTAAGTCTTAGGGGATTATACCAAGAATGGACCCCAATCATTCATCTGTCCTATTAGTTTAGCTGACAGGGTAGCAGTGAGTGATAATGCGTGAATTCATCAGGATTTAACCACGATGGTTATTGCTAGCCATGGCGACAGAATAGTATTAACAATCTCCTTTCCCAAAGAGGATACCATAGATCATGTAGCTTATTTGTACATAGATGGAACATAAAATTATTGAGTTAAACATAGCAATAATACTTTTTCCTAATTTACGTTTAAAACGGTTACTAATAAGGGCACGTTACAAATGGTATGATGGATGTTATTATATATTCTGTGGTAACTATGACGCTTGTATTTACAGGTGGCAATACTTGTAGTAATATATTGTCTGTGACGACGTTTACCTGATGAATGAATGATTGAAAACTATATAATAAAAAAAATATATTTATATATATATATATATATATATATATATATATATATATATATATATATATATATATATATATATATATATATATATATATATATATATATATATATATATATATATATATATATATATATATATATATATAGAGTAACATTAGAAAAATGATTGATTTCAGATTACGGGAAGATCCATCACCAGGAGAGGAGGTAGCATTCATCGACGTCTCAGATTTACAGCCTGCCCACTTGAAAAGTCATTTCAGAAAGTCGTATTGGCGAGATTTTTATTTATGTATGAAGGTATGTTCCTTTTTATGCAACATGAAAAAACTAAGTTGACTACCCCAAGATGAAAATGGTGATCATCACAGTTAGAAATGAACAGTAACATTAACATCACAGAATACAATGTCCTAAACTGGCAAGAGTCGTTGTTAGTAATTTATTTATTTGTTTACTAGCTGACCCGGCGAACTTCGTACCGCCTAACAGTCAATGTATCGTGTCACATATTATCTACATTTTTAAAACCTAAATTACGCGATTATCCGAACATTGTGTCGATATAATATCTTGTCGATTCAAAACCTTTATTTAAGTATGTTCTTTAACTTAAAATTGTTTGATAGGTATGAAATCCATGAACATTTTGTATGCGAAAATATTTTTTCTTTTATTTCATTTTTCGTCAAAATTCCAACCTTTTTAATAGTTATTCTCACAAATCCAACAAATCAAAAACCATGATAATTGGTTAAGCCGTTCTCGAGTTTGAATAAACACGACTTTGTTTTATATACATATATAGATAAAACTTCCCCTGTACTTTTTTATTAATGGCTGATAATGGAATGGTAACCCCACCCGCGCTAACGGTATACACCGGCGGGGCACCAGTGAAGGATGATAGGTGAGGATGAAGCAGGTCAGTGAGCCCATCGTGACGAATTCAACAACAATTGTTCACGATGGTTTCCAGGGGGAACTACGTGGAGGTCGATCTAATAGGGCATATATGCTAACAATCCCTTTTCCCCCACTTCCCCTGTACTAGTTTTATGTAAATTTTAATGATATTGAATATGACTTATTAAAACAAACTTTGAAATTAATCAAACATCAGCTTCAGCTTCTCAAAGAGTGACTGTAAGAAATCCCACTTAAGGATAAGTCATTATGTATTAAAACGTTTTAAGTGTCCAATGTATATTATGTACAATAAAGATTTTATAACAACTGCAACATCATTTTCAGACAATATACCCACGAAGGTTCTCTGAAGTCCACATTATCAATGCTCAGCATTTAAAGACCATTCCGTTACTGCTTCTCCACATAGGCCTGTACCCTTGGAAACGGCAGAGGGTCCAAATTCATACAAATACTGGAGATGTCAATCAGGCCATGGGTCTAGACTACTTCCCAGTAGAAGAGCTTCCTTATGAATATGGTGGAAAAGCTGGCGCCATGAAGGATCTAAATGGTATAAATGTATTTGTATTAATTATAAAAGATTAAAAACTCTTCAACCTATTTTCTCTCAAGGATTAATTTCACATTTTCCATTTTTTTTTATGATATTTAGAATATCGAACGAACGAATATCAGAGGGAGACTTTGTACAAAAGTCATTTGCTTAGGCACCTCTGTCTCATTCTTGTTTCTACCGTAAAACAGTTGTGTTTGCATGGCTGTGTTTCGGTTTGAAGGGTGGGATATGGCAGTGGATTTACAGGGTACAGAGGAATAACACCTGAGTCCTCAGGAATAATGGGCAAAACGGTATACTCTGTTATGTCCATGGTACTGCTCATGTCTATAGGCAAAGGTTACCACTTTCCATCAGATGAGCCGTCAGCTTCTTTGCCATTCTAAGTTGCATAAAATAAAGGTGGCTTTCCACCTGATGGGTAGCGATAATCATCGCCTATAGACATGAGTAGCATCATAAGTATCACAGAATACGCTATGATACCTACGATACCCCCATACTTTGCCATTACTGAGAACTATAATGTTATGCCCTTGTGTATCATTGTATGTTACCTATGACGTCGTGGTCCCGGCATAGAATGGGCACTCTTTTCCTTTCCGTGGATGTCGTCAGAGGCAACTAAGATAACATAATTGTCAACGGATGGGCAGTAACGTCATTCTTAAAACATCACTGAAAACCAAACTGCTGTTGCCAACCTGCCTGCTAAACATGACAACTACTGACAAAACCCCCTTGTGATGGAGTCCTATGTTTAGCAATGGACAATTAACGACTGATATGATGACGATGGTAATGATGATGATAGTGTTATGCTCTCGTACTTTGTAATATCATTGCCATATTTCACACTTTAAACCAAAACAAAGTACAGTTGCTTCACATCACAAATTCTGGTGGAAAAAAGATTGATGAATGTGGAAGAAGCGAAAGAGGTTTATTTGAATCGAAGTATTTGGCGTTCTATTGTTTTCTCCCTACCCTAATGGGAGACAGGCGTGACAGATATGTATGTATGTATGCAGACGTACATATTCATGCAGACAACTTTAGTCCAAGTTCCCTCTGATATTTTCTTACTCTGAACTAATTTGAAAGCCTTCAGCTAAAGCCACTGATAAGATAAAAGCAATTTCTTATTGGTTCGCTTTGTGTTCCTTTGTCTAAAAGCTAGTTAGGAATAAATAAAGTAGTTCTAACTTTTATTCAATGTATAAGCAAAGACATGACTTTGCTCTTCCAATTTATGTAGGAGTAAGTTCGTATTTCTTTGACTTATCAATACTAATTTTACAAACAAGCTTTATCTTTGAACGCGTGGTGTTGTTGAAACTTTCATTAATCCTTCTTTAACGGATGCTTACATTATAAAATAAACTTTTATTCTAAACTTTCGTTTTCTATACTTAATGGGATTGCACTGTGCATTGATAATTAATCAGTAAAAATTATTTTATAACCATAGATATGGATTCTTTATTTGTTACCTCATGATAATTTAATGACTCGACCGAACATCATGAAGTTTAGCATACAAATAATACTTATTTACATGATGTAGGATATAGGTTTCTATTAATCCCATTTATACATAATGCTAGCGGGATACGAAAAAAGATCATTTGGTTGTGATGACAAATACAGCAGGAATTAAAGGAAGAAATATGATTTAATTTCCTACAGGTTTTACTAACTAACAGGTTATAGCAATTGTGCTGATCCTCATTACTAGCAATCTCTCCTGCCTACACCGCCAATGCCATCAAATATTTAATAAATATGTTATTGTACTTATTATATATATAATCATCACACTAGCTAATGAGGTTCTTTATAATTACAGATCAATGGACCAAAAAATTATTACTCAACTCAAAATGGTTGCAATCTGAAGAAAGGAAGTTCTATGACACGGAACTCAAACCAGAAGTGAGATCGCGAATTCGTCACCGTAGCGCCGTGCGAACTTTTAGCAACAACGAATCATATAACATGTTGACAAGAACGCATTCATGTAAATCTTTACACAAACATGATGACCTTGATGAAGGGACATACGGTGCATACAGGACACTAAAACTGACCACTGATATGGGATATTACGTATGATCGTTTTTATCTCTGAAGAAATAAGTTTTATAACATAAAAGACGATCGTAAATTCGTCAGTGTAATGTCCTGTGTACTTTTAGCAACAACGAAACCTATAACATGTTGACGAGAACGCATTCATGTAAATCTTTACACAAACATGATAATCTTAATGAAAGAACATGAAGTGCGTACAGGACACTAAACCTGACCAGATATGGGATATTTTGTATGATTGTTTGTTATTATGTCTGAAAAGAGATTAAAAAATTTATGACACGAAAGTCAAATCAGAAATGAGATCATGAATTCGTCACCGTAATACTGTGCGCATTTTTAGCAATAATGAATTCCAGAGCTTTCGACGAAAAACCATTCGTTCATTTGCACAAACATGATGAGTTTGAAGAAAAAACATATAGAACAATATAATATGTTATTATAATTTTCATTGAAATAATTGTAAAATGTATCTCTTTATTTAAACATAGTTATTAGAACGCTAGAAAAGTGATAAAAATAAATTGCTGACTCCTGACTCATTTGTGTAAATATGTTATATTTATTTTTTTATTTTTCATTGTATATAATAGCTTTTAATTTTATAATGAACTACAATATCAAAAAAGTTTGATTCCATTGGGATTTTTGTATCCTCTTCACTTTTTTCAAAATCTCTTAAATTCTTTCTGTTAACAAAAAAGCGATAAAGAAACGTTTTCTTATATCGATTAATATTTTGCATATTAATACATACCTATTTGTAAATTACATTGGTTTGTTTACACATTAGAAACGAAATATACATGAATAAAATAAATTAATAAACTAATTAATAAATATTAATATTTATTTAGATTTAGTAAAAAATTGTAAATGTAAATTATTAGATGTATATTTCACTTAACAACTATTAATATAATATATAGTACCTACTACATAATACTCTAGCAATACCTGTTGGTATACTTATATATCGATTTTTTTTTTTTTCTTTTAATTGGTAATGTTAGATAGGAAATACTTTCATCTGTACATAAAACTAATAAAGTCAATAATTTTTATTTAATGAATTACTTTTACAAAAACAAAAACTCTATAAAAATTCTTCTTTACAGTTTTTTTTTTTTTTTTTTTTATTTTTTGCTGCATAGCATTAATCATTTTAAATTAATTACCTTTTCAATTGACTTCACAAAGAAGTAGATTCTATATTCGGTTATATGTTTTTTTTTGTTTGTTACCTCAAAACTCCGTATATTATAAATCAATTTGGAAAAGTCTTTTTTGTCTGAAAAATACCTACAGATTGATCCCATAAAATTTTTATCAAAATCAATTGACTATTTTAGTTTTTAAATCGAAATAAATAATCTTGCCACAATTGTAATTGTTTTGTTTTTTTTTTTTTTGTAGAAATGAATCATTAAGATTCTTTTCCAAAAATGATTGTAAAATTTGATCAATAAAGAGTAATTAAATATTTATCACTTATTTATGTTTTACTTTGCGTATTTTTAACTATTTTAAGGTATTGTTGTTACTCTGCTTATTTTCTCTGCTTACTTTTAGTTTACTATTATTTTTTTATGCAACTTAGAATGGCAAACAAGCTGACGGCCCTCCCGATGGAAAGTTGCGAACGTCGCCTATAGACATGAGCAGTACCATAGATATAACAGTATACTGTGTCACCCATAATACCCCTAATGCGTTGCCATTCCTGAGGACAAAGTAATATGCCTCTAGTTAAGGTACTATCTATTTTTAAATCTGTAATTCTAAATTACATTTCATTTTATTATACAGTTTTTATCAGTAATTATTAATTAGGTAGCACATACTTCGAATACTTACACGTTTCAGATACCGTGTCATACTGCAGATATAAATTCCAGATAGGATAAAATGTCGGTGCAATTTGGTAGAGTGAATTATCTGAGTGAAAGGCTCCAAACGGACCGCCGGTAAGTGCACGAAATGACTTCACAAGTCCGTTTACAAGTGACGACCACGTTACGATTACGACACTACGATTACCGTTGTTTATTGATGCAATCGAGTTGGAATCGAAAATCGAAATCGCATCGAATAAACGTCAAATATACTCGTAATATATACAATTTTATTAACTCATCATTGTTTTCTCCAAAAAATTATAATAGTAAACTTATTATAGATACAAACAATTACAAGAAATGATCACAGTGAGAAAACAATGGGTGACCTTATCGCTTAAATCATTCTCTTTCAGGCAACCTTAGGATAGAGAGGCGTAATAATAAACAATTCGATTGTAGTGGCGATAAAAATTCTATCATTTAAGGTAGGAATATACCTTAAATGTTCTCTTTTCATCCTTCAGTCTCTCTGTATGATATTAAATTTGTGTATGTTTATGTATATATCTATTTATATAAATAAATAAGAATCATTCAAGCAAAACTATTAACTCGCAATCCATTGTTCTCAGTAGAGTTCATGAACCTTTTTTTTAGTCCTTTGGAAGTCGCTTAAAAATATTAAGCCTACTATATATATATGGAAAAGTTGAGAGAATGTTACATTAATAATAAGCGACAAACAATCACACAATTCGTCTAGTTCTTGAGCTAAGGGATATGAGAAACTAAACAAAGAATGTCTGAAAATACAATCTAGCCGAAACCAAGTCACCCAGACCAGAGTCAATTCAAAAAATTTGTTTCTTAAATTGGACTGCTCAGGAATAGAAGCCGCGAAAAAGATTAACTTGACTACCACTGCACCACGAAAATCGTTTTTACTGGATGTTTCTACCAGAGGGAACTCATTTTTAGATACCTCTGTCCCATTGTTTCAATATTGTGTTTGCATGGCTGTGTTTCAGTTTGAAGGGTGGAATATGGCATACTGGGTACAGAGGAATAACCGTTCTCAGTGGCAACTAACTCATGGGCGAAAAAAATGAATACGATGGTTACCATTATCAGATGAACCGTCAGCTTGTTTGCCGTTCTAAGTTGTATAAAAAAAAAAATATTATTCCTTTTTGCCTATCGATATCCGTTCTGTAACTAACTTAACAAAAAGAATACTTCCACTAGGCCATCTATTCCTTTTCCATGGTTGTTGTAAGAGGTGACTAAGGGAGGGCGAGGGATGGGCAGTAGCGTCCCACTTAAAAAATCTTCAAAGCCTTTCTGCAGCTGCCAACCGACCTACCAAGCGTGGCAACTACTGACAAAATCCCCCAAGGAAAGAGGCTTATGTTCAGCAGTGGACAGTTAAACGCTGATATATATACTGACACATACGGGTGAGACCGAGGGATTTAGTTGATCAATCATAATGATTAGAATTTTCTGAGAATCGTCAGTTGTAAACTAGACCTTTTAATCCGGAGCACAGAAAAAGTACACCGCTACGATAACGAGCAGTGATCTGAGTCCGCTTTCTAATCCGCCCGCACATATTATAGCTTCAGAGACATGCACAGCGTTCATATTTTTTTTAATGACATGAAAAGGTAATAGTCACCCACAGGTACGAGTTGAAAGGACTTTTAATGAATGAATGAAAACTCTTTGTTGTTCTCTTCAAAGAATAATACAGATTAATAAGATGAACAATATATGCACAAATAAAATTAATACTTAATTACATAAACTTCATTACATAAAAGCAAGATAAAGAGGCAACAATGGGCGGCCTTATCGCTAAATAGCGATCTCTTCCAGGCTATCTTAGGATGGAGAGGAATAAAAAAATTGTGTCTGGTCAAGGTGTAGCAGAAAAATAATAAGGTTAAAAAAGGATAAAGAAAAGTTTTGTGTGAACTGGAATACAGCACCTATCATTTTATCTGGGGGAAAGGGATTGTTAGTAATGCGCACTACAAGTCTTATTGCTAGCAATGTACACTCCCACATCGACCTCCACGTGACCCCCCTGGAAACTATCGTGCTGAATTCCAAGTATATTCGTTACGATGGGATAACTGAAACCTTTAGGAACACAACTGTGAAAATTGCAATAAATTTAATGCAGTAGTTTTTGGATTCTATAGACACAAACATACAGACAATTTCTTTAACTTCTATTGTCCTCATTAAAAACCTCATATTAGTTTTTTTAACATATCTCTCATATACATCGTCTAGTTATATTTCTATTATATTAGTATTAAATTTTATTTATTTATTACATTGTTATACATAACACGGATACAACATTTGTTTAGTTAGTTTATTAAATCAACCGTTAACTGTCCACTGCTGGACATAAACCTCTATCATAAAGGGGGATGTTGCCAATAGTTGTAACGCTTGGCAGGCAGGCTGGCAACCCCAGTTAGGCTTTAGTGATGTTTGAAGAAGGACGCTGCTGTCCATTCCTCGATATTAGTTGCCTCTTACAACATCCGCGGGACAGAAAGAGATGGTCCATTCTACATATGTTGGGACAACATGGCGCGGTAAATAATTGTTTTTTTTGGTGGATGAAAATGGAATGGTAACCCCGCCTGCGCTAATGGGATAGTCAGCCCATCATGATAAATTCATCAGGAATTAACCGTGATAGTTTTCAGGGGGAACCACGAGGAGGTCGACCTGGTTAGGTATATTGCTAGCAATGAAATTTTTAGTCTCCATTACTAACAATCCCTTCCCCCCCCCCCTCTCCGCGCTAAATAATAAGAAAAACATATAAGTGAATAATTACTTAAGTAAAACTAACAAGCATTAAATTAATACTAGCAAAATATTTCACAATCATAATCAGTTGTATCCACTACGTGTGTAACAAGTACTCCTTAAAATTTTGCACTAATGAGACACCTTGAAAGATATATTAAATCTTAATAGTTGAGTAATACGAGTGTAATTTGTATATTTCCCTGTCTAAGAATGGAAGCAACAACAAATCAACAAACGTATGTGTACGCAATGGCGTCACGCACTAGTAAATATGACTGGGGTTACCATTATTTACGATGGATCATCAAATGAGTGATGAAATAATGAAAAAAAAATGTACTCCTATGTACTGTAAAATTCCTTTACTTATTAATTAAAATTGTAAATATGGCGCACTTAGCTAAAACACACACCGACACACACACATGTATATATACATATATGCGTGTGCGTGCGTGCGTGCGTGCGTGCGTGCGTGTGTGTGTGTGTGTGTGTGTGTATAAATTCAATATATCAATTATATTTTAGATTTATTACATATTAGGTAATAAATAATATTTGTATATCATTTTTTATTTTTATCTGAGTTAATAAAAATATTTTATGCTTATTACCTCTTAACTGTGTCATTTATAAACAGTTTTAGAAAATTCAATTTTTTTAACTGAAAAAATTTACTTTCAGATCGGTTCTATTAAAAGTTTCATCAAAATTGATTCAATAGTTAGATTATTTTAATCAAAATAATTAGTTTTGTCACAACAGAAGTCTGTATTTTTTACTTGTAGAACTAAATCTACTTGTTATCAAAAATTAACCAAATAAATGTGTAATAAAATAATACATAACAACATAAATTTAATTTTAACGATAGTATACAGGCAAACATAAAATTGCACGTTAAAAATTACAGAGATATTTTGTAATCTCATATAATAATATCTCAGCAGTGTCCTTCTTAAAACATCAATAAAAGGCTAACTACGATTGCCAAGCGTGGTAACTACTGGCAAAACAAACCTCATGTTTAGGAGTAGACAGTTAACAAGTTAGTTAAGTGGACAGTTGGTATGATGGTGACATGATGATGATATGATGATCCCACATTATATAGCAAGATGGTCACCCTGGTGGAAAACTAAGTTGAATTTAAAGTACTGCGTACACCGAATTTAGCAAGGCTTACATAACCTGAAAATTTGTATCGTACGATATAAACATTTGTAAAGAGGGCGACTGATGCAAAGTTCCGTTCTAATTGGTCTTCAGACCACTATCCGGCAATAACGGTTTTTTTTATTACCCCTTTTCGATCACGTTATCATATTTATAGTATTTGACTTGATGCATAAGGTTACTTGAATATTTTATGAAAAAATTTGTTCGTAAACGTAGATTAGGTATAATTCTCACGGTGCTATCTAAAATTTCTAAATACCATAGATTAAGAACCTGAGGTTAAATATAGTAAAAAACCACAGTGCAGGGAGTGTTTCTTTATATGTTACGCTGTATTTTGCTTGAACACATAATTTTTTTATATATTTTTGTCCAGATGCGTCAAATTAGAAGGAAAGAAAGAAACAAAAATAATTTATTAGTGACATACATAGACATTACAAAAGACAGAAATGCATTTTATTAAATAAATTAACAATTCATCATTTTCTTTGTTGAAATTCATTTCTTAATCATTTCAGCATTGATTTTTTTTTATTTTATTATTGGAAAAGATCGCTAATAATAAATACTATAGAAAACAAGTAAAAATTAAGATTGTCTTCCACAAAAAAGACTTCAAAAACCAATTATTTT